TACAGGCTGAGCCACTGAGCCGGGCTCAAAGTTATCTTTAAAAGCTATTATATTGTGACCTGCCTGGGCAACCTGGCGAGACCTCATCTCTACAATAAAATCAAAAAAATTAGCCGGGCATAGTAGTGCACGCCTGTAGTTCCAGCTCAAAAAAGAAAAAAAAAGCTATTTTAGCTGGGCGCTGTGGCTCATGTCTGTAAAACCAGCTACTTTGGAGGCTGAGGCAGGAGGATTACTTGAGGTCAGGAGTTCAAAACCAGCCTGGGCAACAAACATAGGTTCCTGTAGTCCCAGCTACTGAGGAGGCCAAGATAGGATTGCTTGAGACCTACAGTGAGAGGCCACAGTGAGCTATGATTGCCTGGGCCACAGAGCTAGACCCTGTATTTTTTTGTTTTTTCTTTTTTTTTTAGTTGGAGTCTCACTCTGTCACCCAGACTGGAGTGCAGTGGCATACTCATGGCCACTGCAACCTCGACCTTTTGGGTTCAGTGATCCTTCCACCTCAGCCTTCCAAGTAGCTGGATTTTGGTGCGCACTACAGGTGCGCACTACCACGCCCAGCTAATTTTTGATTTGTTGTAGAGATGAGGTCTTGCCAAGTTGTCCAGGTTGGTCTTGAACCTGTGTGCTCAGGCAGTCTTCTCACCTTTGTCTCCCAAAGTGTTGGGATGAGCCACCACATCCGGCCTCTGTCATGAGTTTTAATGATTGAGAAAATGTTAGGATATTTTTCATGATAATTGAGAATAAATTTTAATATCTCTACATGTTGACTTATTAGAAGTGAGCACATATATTAACTACATTCATTAACCGTAATTCAGGCCTTCTGGTATCAAGTTTCTACTCTGCTGTCTATTTGATTAAGTTGTAAATTGCAAACAGCCAACATGAGTTGATGATAAACCTCTCGCTTTTTTCATTTTGTAAGTTTTCTTTGTAACCTTCAAAAAATCTATTTTCAAACTTTCCCAAAGAAGCGTAAATGTCTCAGTATGCGCCTACTCCTCAGGTAACCTCTTAGCTTCGTTTTCTAGGAGCCGTTCTCCTGGAGTCTTCTTTTCTGCTCCAATCCAGACTGGTTGGTTTTTTTTTTTTTTTTTTGAGTTGGAGTCTCACTCTGTCACCCAGACTGGAGTGCAGTGGCCGCTCCCGGCCACCACATCCTCAACCTGCTGGGCTTTGGCA